CCGGAGCTGTCACCAGGCCCCCCACCTTCCGCCCCACTAGACACGGCCTCTGGACCCGCATAGCCCCCCCCAGCCCCAGCGCCTCCCCGCCTCTGGAAGTGGCCCCCTGACACCCCCCGCCCCCTACGCTTCACCGCCCTCTTACCAACCCCCCCCTTTCCAACTACCGCCCCTACCTCCCTCACCCGACCCGCTGACCCCCCAGGCACCCCCAGGGACCCCCCCGGTGCCCCCATCAGCCCTACCACAGAGCCCCCCCCACTCCCCCCCTCACTAGGGCCCTGAGAGCTACCCTGGGTCCCCCCAGAAGGTCCCCCCCCAGCCACCTGAGCCCCACTCCCCCCCCCTTTAGCCCCAGGCACACTACCCCCAGGCTGCACCCCCAGGTTGGGCCCCACGCCAAGGGGACCCCCAAGGGGGCCCCCTGCACTTGCCTGCTCCGTCCTGGGCCTGGTCCGCGCCTTCCTGGCCCGCTCTCCACCGTCCGCCGCTCCGACCGCTTGGACAACTCGCCCGGCCTGCCTGCTCGCTTCCCGGCAGGGCCGCCGCATCGCCGGTGCGTCCGCCGGGCCCGGCGCCGCCCCAACCAGTCCAGGGGGCGCGCCGTCTGATGCCAGGGCCGCAGCCCGCCGGGAGCCCGCCTGCCGAGGCCCTGGCCGGCCGCCGGGAGGCGATGCCTCGACCGCGCGGCCTCCAGGCCTGCCGCGGCCTTCCTCCCCAGCCGCCGGACCGCCAAGGGAAGGAGTCACGGGCCCCGCGCCCGGGCTCAAGCGCCATGGTGGCCTCCTGGCCCGAGCCGCCGCCATCTGCCGCTGCTAACAGGGGGCCCAGATGCATCTTCGCCCAGCCTGGGCCCTGTTGCCGCGCCGCCGTCCGGATCCCGTCCAGGAGCCGCTCCACCTCTTCCATGGCCCTGCAGAGGAGACAAAAGAAAAGCCTACCTAGCAGGTCAGTGAACCAAGAGGCAACACAAACACAGCTAGGTAGAAATTAATGTGCACATTTTTTTAAAATGGCTGCCTAATAAATAGCCAGCCCCCATCCCATAATCCCACAGTCCTGCTTGGTCCCTCCTATGCCCGCCTCCTAACCCCTGTCAAGGCCCTTTTCCGCTAAGCTGCGCTCTGGCTACATGGGGCTACATGTTAGAGGGAGTGGGGTATAGTGACACAGTAACAGAGGGATTGAGGGCCTGCTCAGTGAGTTTACATGTTAGAGGGAGTGGGGTATAGTGACACAGTAACAGAGGGATTGAGGTCCTGCTCAGTGAGGTTACATGTTAGAGGGAGTGGGGTATAGTGACACAGTAACAGAGGGATTAAGCGCCCTGCTCAGTGAGTTTACATGTTAGAGGGAGTGGGGTATAGTGACACAGTAACAGAGGGATTGAGGGCCTGCTCAGTGAGTTTACATGTTAGAGAGAGTGGGGTACAGTGACACAGTAACAGAGGAATTGAGGGCCTGCTCAGTGAGTTTACATGTTAGAGGGAGTGGGGTATAGTGACACAGTAACAGAGGGATTGAGGGTCCTGCTCAGTGAGTTTACATGTTAGAGGGAGTGGGGTATAGTGACACAGTAACAGAGGGATTGAGGGTCCTGCTCAGTGAGTTTACATGTTAGAGGGAGTGGGGTATAGTGACACAGTAACAGAGGGATTGAGGTCCCTGCTCAGTGAGTTTACATGTTAGAGGGAGTGGGGTATAGTGACACAGGAACAGAGGGATTGAGGGCCTGCTCAGTGAGTTTACATGTTAGAGGGAGTGGGGTATAGTGACACAGTAACAGAGGGATTGAGGGCCCTGCTCAGTGAGTTTACATGTTAGAGGGAGTGGGGTATAGTGACAGTAACAGAGGGATTGAGGTCCCGCTCAGTGAGGTTACATGTTAGAGGGAGTGGGGTATAGTGACACAGTAACAGAGGGATTTAGGGCCCAGCTCAATGAGCTTGAATAGTGTAGGTTATTCACTAAGCTTAGAATTCAAACGGGAATTTCAAAAGTAAGGCTAAAATTGTGAAAGTGGAAAAATTTGGTTACTTTGGCTTGAAATATGATATTCAATTCACTTTGAATGCTCACGTTAGTCACGCACGCTGCGGCACCAACCTATTCCCCAGCGCTGTACAATGAGAACACAAAGCATGCAGATAACTAATAATATTATTATGTTATTATTTATATAGCGCTAACAAATTCCGCAGTGCTTTACAGTGAGTGGACGAACAAACATGTAGTTGTAACCTACATAAATATGTAAATATGACACACTTAGATAAACATTTGTGAGGGCACTGGTCCCAAGAGTATACAATTAAAACAGAGTATTAAAAGGTGAGAGTGCGATTGTCTTATGAGGTAAAATCACAGTAAGTCGACTGTGGTGAGGTAAGTGGTGGAAGCCATGGGGGCAGTGGGTGGTGTTTGTATTCCTTATTTTATACCCTGAGCTTAGAAGACTGGAAGTGGAACGGGAGATCATAACAGGTGAAGGATCACTGAGCATTACTATAAATCATGATATAAGAATATAATTGGAGTTGTCAAACATGTTATAAAGGGTACAAAAGGAAGTGATACAAATGCAAGTTCAATAAAGTTACATAAAGAATTGTGTGAAAAAAGCTGTTAATTCAATTAGCGCCTGTGTAGGGGCTGATCACCTAAATGTCGGCAATTCAAATGTGAAAACTTACTTAAAACATGCAAAAACATGGTATCTAAGGAATCGGCATGAATCTAAAATTAAATAAATCGTTAGACGCTCAGAAACAGTGATATTGTGTACAATGTGTGTTATGATGGGGTGCCGTGAACTAAATGGAAACAAATTATATACCGGCTGCAAAGTATTAAATTGTAAACTATGGAGGAGCCGACACAGAGCTCGAGTACGCTATAAATGATGAACATACAAAGAAAGTACACGCATTCATTCCATGGGATAACACATGAATATGGGTCAGATCACTTTAAATATACGCATTTCAAGACGTACAAATACAGATCAGATAAACATTTAAGTTCTATTAGGGCCTCTCCTCAGTGCAACATCTAAGCAAAAAACAGAAAAATATTGTGATGGGATTTCAACATGGTTCAAAATTTAGTAGGCCTGAAATCTCCATGTGGCATATCCAAGTACAGGTGTTTGTTGTATCAGTTAGTTAGTTACATGTAGCTAAGATACTGTCATCAATGTACTGAGCATCACCCCCCCCTCACTATCACAACCCTCAGCATCACCCCCC